ATTAAAATGTATTTACCTTTCATTCCCCTTTATAGTGCAATTATAGCTACTTAATAGATACATATATTTAATCATATGTGAGTTACACGTGCAGAGACACTGTGTTACCTCTGCCTTTGATTTCAGAAAGTGAGGGGAGTGTCACAAAATATTTGATACAAAGGGGCTGACAATCTGTTGACAGACCCACCATGAGACACTGCTTCACTCCCACTGAGGTGCTGGAATGGGAAACACAGACGATAAACCAGGGGAGAAACTGGCACCTTCAAACATCGCTGACATCTGCCCCAATGTGGATGGACCTTGAAAACACGACGCCCAGCGAGAGAAGACAGATGAGGGCGCCATATGTCACATACCTCCCTTTACGCGAAATGTCCCCACCAGGAAAATCTAGAGAGACTGAGGAGACTAGTGGTGGTCCAGGGTTGGGGGAAGGGGGTATGGGGTTTCCTTCCAGGGCAATGAAAATGTTCTAAAATTGACTGTGGTGATAGTTGTCCAACTTTATGACTATGCTGATGACCACACTGGACAAACTGCCTGGTATGGGAATGGACCTCAAGCAAGCTGTTTGAAAGAACAGAATCTGGTGGGTTGAGAGCCATGGTCTGAGGTGATCCTAGTGACTCTAGGTCTGTGCCAGAATTTGGTTTGGCTGGCATCTTGGCCAGTAGGTTGTGGGGACATTCTGTTGGGACCTCCAAAGGAAGGATTTTCACGGAAGAATTAAGACTCACAGGAGGAAACAGACTAAACTGTGTTGTCCCCCATGTGTGTGATGCAACGACCCTTGCAGCAGTCATTTGGGGGCCATGAGGAGATTATGCCCACTGGCTGCAGAAGGAAGAAGGATGGAAGCAAAGACCCTGAGCCTTCGATACTGTTATCAAGAGGCCAAACCAACAGCTTGGCCTTCACACCTACCTTCTGTCTGTACAGACAGCCGCGAGAGTCCCATCTTCTGTCACTGGCAGCCCAAAAGTAAGCCCCATGTTTCCTGAGAAGATTTCTATGCCCGAAAAAGG